AGTCCATTCACAACTTGGGCACATACCAATCAACTTAGAAATTTGGAGTGACCATGTATAGTTTGGCATCCACGTAACAATCCCTTGAAGCTTTCAGACATGAAGCATTTCCCTTTGATACCAGGGCGCGCGCGAGAATTCAGTGGTCTGCGCATAAGGAAGAAGTTGAGTTGTGATAAACTGTATAATGCAATCTGTATTCTCGTGGCGATGTTGTGCTTACATGGCCAATTTGTCTGGATGGCATATCCGCCCCACCCGGGAAATATAATATATCAAAGCACGCCCTAGGGTGGCTATATGTCATTGGGGCAACGGATTGAGTCAGTCCGACGGACCTATGCGCCTTAACGGGTCAGGGGGATGCGTAGGACATGCTTTGTGGGGCGGATATGCCATCCCGGGACATGCTTTGGTATATTATATTTCCGGGGTGGGGCGGATATGCCATCCCGGGACATGCTTTGGTGTATTATACTTCCGTGGTGGGGCGGATATGCCATCCCGGGACATGCTTTGGTGTATTATACTTCCGTGGTGGGGCGGATATGCCATCCCGGGACTTGGTATATTATATTTCCGGGGTGGGGCGGATATGCCATCCCGGGACTTGGTTTATTATATTTCCGGGGTGGGGCGGATATGCCATCCCGGGACTTGGTTTATTATATTTCTCGGGTGGGGCGGATATGCCATCCCGGGACATGGCCAATACAGCCCCACCCTTAGGAAACGATCCAATCAGAAGTGCAATAGGAGGAGTGTAGATGTCGGCGATAGCAATAGTTCGTCTGTCGAACATACTCTCGTCCATCATATAGAAGCTCACTGGCTTATGGTTGCTGACGGGCGCCTTCACGGGTCTTTGTATAAGCAGTAATTCATGTCGGGTATTAGTGTCAGTCAGAGCCACTCTACCCGCAGTTAGATTTGAAAATGCCATCGTCGAGTGTTCCCATAGTGAGCAACCTGATAGCTGCTATTCGGCTACTGATAAACGACAGACTGCGGGGAAAGGATCGTTTCGATACTGTGGTCCTTTCCACCTTCACCTGGTTTGTGCTCCTCTTTGCCTACCGATTCTGGAAGTACTCGCAGCGATATGGCCTTCATCAAGGATTCGAGGTTCCTCTCAAGCGCTACGCGCTAAACCAGGTGGGTTGAATCGAACTCCCTAGCCACTGCAAGTTACGACGTCGTCACGCGTCGCTTTATTTGTTGTGAATTAGGCGAGGCACATACCGCAAATTCGAGCAAAGATCGATGCTGAGCTGGACAAGGCAACCGAGGGACTCGACGAGATGGTCCTCAAGGATGTGGAACCCAGGAACAGTGTCCTACCGAAGCGTAATGAAATAGGACCCATCCTTTACGGCAAGTCTCAGTCGTTTAGAAGGAAAGTCTTCCAGCGAACTTATTCCCCACATGGAGAAGTGCGCAGAGAAAGAACACATGAACTGGAAGAATGGCGGTCAGAGTGGGTGTGTGTACCACGGTGGTGAGGAGTTATACGAGATGCAAGGGAAAGTAAGTATGGACTGCTCCAAAGCAATACTCATGATGCGCGCTTCTAGGTATTGGGGATGTTCGGCCTTAGCAATCTGCTACATGCTGACGTGTTCACCAAGACCCGGCAAATGGAAGCCGAGGTACGATAGCTTTGTGGGAGTTGCATCACTCGGACGACGAGTCACGACTACACGCTAGGTTATCGCAATGACGCTCAATCTGTTCAATGGTAAGCCGGATGAAGGAGCTTGTGGTTCCGTAACTAGCGGCGGAACTGAGTCAATTCTGCTGGCGATGAAGGCCTATAGGGACTGGGGAAGGTAAATCTCTGCTCACAGGCATTCGTCTTCTTACAAAGATCTCATCCGGCTGTGGTACGGTAGTACATAATGAGTTGTTGCTTGGTCTTCTTCAGAGCGGAGAGGGGTATCACTGAGCCCAACATCGTCATACCTCGCAGTGCACATGCTGCTTTCATCAAAGCTGGACAGTATTTTGGCATAGACGTTCGGATAGCTCGGCTTAATGAGGTAGTATGGAAGATGCCTTCTTTATAGTGATTAGTCGCGTATATTGACTTTACTTTGTCCGGGTCATCAGATTATACTCTCATCTCGATAAGATACTCTAGTTATCCCTCGATGGCAGTTGTGTTACGATTATTACACTATCGTATAGTAGAGCTTGCCGGTTCGACCGACCATGGTGAATGTCTGACATCTCTGTTGTGCTCAGGAGATTATGGACGTTGATCTGAATCATGTCGAAACATTGGTGAACAAGAATACTGTCGCTATTGTGGGCAGCTGTCCGCAGTTTCCTCAAGGTAATTCAAATAATATCTCTGTCTCTGCTTTGCTGTGGTCGGGCGCAATAGCAGTGGTTGAAGTTATGTTGGGTTCAGGCGTGGTGGATAATATAGAAGGTTTGTCGAAGATTGCGTTGGAGCACAAGACGAATCTCCACGTCGACGGCTGCTTGGGAGGATACCTCTTACCTTTCATGGAAGAGAACGGCTTCCCTATGCCAACGAGGGTAAGACATGCTGCTCTAACATTTTCCCCGAACGAGAATTTTGGGCCTGTTTATCAGTTCGATTTCCGCGTCCCGGGCGTCACATCCATTTCCTGTGATACCCATAAATACGGATTTGCCCCTAAGGGCACCAGTGTGCTCATGTTCCGGTCGACTGACCTCCGCAAGTATCAGTATTCTACTTGCAGTGAATGGCCAGGTGGTATCTACGGTACTCCAACCATATGCGGGTCAAGGTAAACCAATTCGAACTAATGCTATGCACTCACCAAGGGTTCACCATTCAGACCAGCAGCTGCCGTCGCAGCGACTTGGGCGACTTTGATGCACATCGGAAGAGATGGGTATAAAGAATCATGCAAGACAATTGGTGAGCACGCCGGTTGTACTGTGATTGTATGATGGACTCTATATAGTATCTGCTGCTAAGCACCTCGAGAAGGGAATCAACGACATAGAGGGAGTTCGCGTGTTGGGCCGTCCAAGCGTTTCGGTGGTGGCTATTACCTGCACTAATGGGGTTAATGACTATGACTTTGCAGAATGGTTGAAGAACAACACCAAGACTCATTGGTGGGATGGCCATAGTGAAAATTGCTTAAGTCTCCTCTCCTTAGGAACTTGAACATGCTGCAGATGCCCTCGGGCGTTCATATATGCGTCACACGTCTGAACGCTAAGAAAATGGATGAACTGTTAACGGATATCGAGGCTGGTCTTAAGGCGGAGAAGGCGAAGTTAGACGCTGGTGTGAAGAGCGGTACGTATGGGTTCGATTCCTGGCCTGGACCTGTAGCATGACCAGACTGTGTTCACACTTCTGGTAGTGAGGTAAGGGGTTCTGTTATTTGTTAGGGCATAGTGGTAATGCAGCCGTGTATGGTTCTGCAGCTTCGGTCCCGAAGGAGCTGGCAGACATCGTGGTGGCCAAGTGAGTTGAAGCGAGCTGTTGGTAGTCTCCTATGTTGTCGTTGTCACAGGTACTTGGATACTTGTTACAAGGCGTAGTAGCAGTGAATATGGACTCCTGATGTTTTCGAGTTATTATTCAGTTCGTTGAAATATGCTTTTTACATTCATCATCTATCCGCCGAGTCGTTTTTTTGCTTCAAAGAACCATAACTATTGAGTTCTGTTCTATTCAACTCGGTATCAAGCATACCTTCTGAATGGGACCAACATGACCAGTCCAACGATTGCCAATCAAGAGTAAAGTGAGGAAAACAGCATCTCGTGATGTCACACTGGTCGATAGTCCGATATCCTCAGCGTCGTTGCAACATTGGGAATTTGGACCTTCATAGCCTTCAGGCTCAACTTGAGATATTCCTTGATTAAAGATTGCAACAATAGCCATTACGACTTGTCGGATGCACGTTTTATCGAAACTCGACAACCAAGTCATGAGACGAAAACTCCAGTGTGTACCTGATTGTGTACTGTTAACCTCTGAGCACTCCATAGTTGCTTGACCGATCTACTGTACCTCGCCGATGTGCGAAGGCGCCTTTTAATGAGATGTCAGAAGAGCATTCGGAACTTCGAGAACTCAGTACTCAACACGAAAGGCTTCGGATAACTGTGTGCTCATCGCTGGTGTTACGATGGATGGGACGAAAAAAGTAATTATTCGGCATTAGGTCAGGGACTGCCAGATGGACTCTCCTGAGAGTCAGTCGTCCCACCGCATGTCGAAGCCGTACTAGCTCCACTCTCGATGCGAGGATAATTGAATGATGCCCCTCGAGGAATAAGTAGGATATCTCGGTACTTGTGCGTAATGTGCCCAGAACGTTGACGAGCTTCCCTACCGAGGGCTAGCATAGATATGTAAATATCTTCTGGTAACTCCAATGCGGAGTTGTCAATTTCAGTGGTCGACTCAGATTGGCTGCTATGTGCAGGAACGTCTGCGTCATTCTTTGGGACTTGTGAGAGACGAATTTGACAGGTATTCATGACAGGATACAGAAATCGGTGGGAAAAAAGCTACAAATGCACACATCTCAAGGATCGACATTCGTGACGAATAAACCTGATCCACACTAGAGGAATGACAGCAGAATGTGATCCCGATTGGAGCGACACTCACTCAGATTCAAGTCTTAGAAGGAAAACAGGGGCGCTCCTCAAAGATGATCGTTGAGAGGATCGTAGAGAACTAACGATAGAAGGCCAGCCCGCAATAGATGAACAGGACAGATCGGTATGAACCTGTGGGAGAGAGTAGCAACTTGTCAGAGTGGTTAACTTGTAATGATTGATCAACATTATGCGTACACATATACACTGTCGCGCTCTAACATCCCTAACAATTGTTAACTCAAGCTGTAGCCTCTTCTTGAACAACCCAACACTGCCATCGGCGCTAGGATGTTTACAACGCGCTATGGAGGTTTAAACATATCTTGATGCTACCGAAAGAAAACCCCCAAGAAGTCCCCCTCAATCCGGAGTCCTTCTGCTCCAACCTTATCGATCAACTCGCTTAATCAGGTTAAACGCTATCAATGAGCAAGATTCCGCACAACCTTGTGCGGTGCAAACCTGTCACAAACCGTACACGGGTAGACCAACTATGAGAACATGAAGAAGTCAAGACAGATACGATCACCGACAGATACGATCACCATTGGAGGCGGCTGCCTAGATCGTCGTAATGGTACTTCCATACGCGACAAACCTGATGTAGATAAGAGACCGTAGAGCGTACGAAGTGGCTCTTAGTTGATAGGGGAGAGGTGGGCTACCTAGCTGGATAAAACGAGGTCATACTGCTTGTGGCAGTCAGCCATTCGACGGAAATTATACGTAAGATCGTATATCAGAATGTGGACGAATTTACTCGAAGTCTTGATCGGGTCGTCGATTGATACTATAGGTAGTCGATGCTAGTGACTCTGGCAACACAATCCCAAGGGTAGATACAGGTATAAGATAATACTTAGCTGCGGTCGACAAGGTTGGCAGGAGTGCCAACAGTAATCCTCAAAAGAATCCCTCGGAAGACTCTGAATGCAATCGATCGTTTGACGCATGCACACGTTAGCTACGGATAAGGCCCTCGCGCTCGCCTTATACTGTCTATTCCGTGTCTCCACTTTTGTACCAATCCACTTTTGAACCAAACGTTTTTGGTGGTGTAAAAAAACACGAATTCGTGACAAACTCAAACACCGACGATTGTGTTGTACCAAATTTTATACTGGGGAATTTGTCCACTTCTGTACCAAATGGGCGAGCGCTTAACAACTATACCACTCGACACCGAACCTTTCTGACTTTGTAACACGAGGGGGTGTTCTGAACAGAGACCTGTTTTGGTCTCTGTTTTGGTTCCTGTTTTGGTTTCGGACCGACACATTGTAGTCCAGATTACTAAATGTTGTCCAAACATGTCCAATTGATCAGAAAGCTGTCCAAAGGTCGCTACAGACGTAATTGGACAACTTCTTGATGAAAAAAAATATTCGACAACTTCATGTCCAAACTACTCACTAGGGTAGTTTTTCGACAAACTGTCCAAAACTTAGTCTTGAGATTCGTTTTGACATCCCTCGCTGTCCAAAGGGCTTTCGACAACTTTATGTCCAAAGTTGATGTGTTGCGCGGTAGCGCGGGTTCGATACTGTGCGGATGTGACGCCGGGCGTGCGCTTATGCCCTGGTTGTCTCCTTTTTACGTGTTGTTATTCCAATTGTTTCGGAGTCTTACGGTCGTATCTCGACCTGTATTCCGATAGGCAGTTGATTCTGCAGGATCACTGTCAGATTGGATAGGGACTTCATATGGTGGGTATGAAGGTTATCCGTATCTCTAGCAGTCATACGGTTATACATTGGTACTGGGATTTATTACTAGTTGTATCGATTCCCTTAGACTGTTAGTACGCTATGGTAGCTATATATCGGTTAATGGGCACGGTTTGAGTTATTAGTCCTTATGGGATGACTTATCTGGGTGTGAATAGATCTCTACTGTGCTGCTATAGCATGGTTTGAGAGCTTATCACTGGTACCGTGGTAATCGCGTTTGTCGTTCTATTCGCACTGATTTGAGAGTTCACCGCGTCGTGTCGCTTGCGATAAGTCCGTTACGGTTTACTTCTCTAAGCAAGTCACACGCCCGTTGTGCACGCGCATTCTACCGGGATTGATCCGACTCGGTGAGTCAGACACTGAGCTTATTTACTGGTGAGGTTGGGTACTATCTACTTGGTTTCGTGAAGAACAGCGAGGGTATGATATGGTAACGTATGAAGCTAAGGGCAAGTAGGGCCTGGAAGCTCCAACCCCCCTCGACTGAATGGTGGATGGTACTGGTTATATGAAGTACATAGACGTATGGGTCCACCTCCCTTAGGGGAAGGGAAGCTCAAGGGTAATTGTTACGACTCCTGCGGTTGGGGGTTGGTTTCAATGGTACAGGGCTTCTCGGTGGGATGTGGTGCTAAGATGTTGCCTTCAGCACTGTGTCCCCGGTGTTACCTTGGGCGGCTGCTTGGGTGTTAAGACTTGGGTTGGCGTAGCAGCATGTTGCGCTGTGATCCAAACGCTTACGTACATCCGGCTGTTGGGTCGAGTATTCCCCAGGCCCACGTTAATTCGTTTCCGTTACGGCGGGGGTTGTACTATCGGAGTAGGAAGAGGTTGCGAAAAACCTCTCCCAAGACCCTTAACATCTACAGGTTGAACCGCCTCGGCCCTTGATTCAGGCATAAAAGATCTCTCGTGAGAGGGGCCGTAGACATATTGTATATCCATGGAATATATTGATATGCTGGGTTACGTTACTAATGTCAACTTCTAAATGGTAAATTACATGAGTCGGGCTGCTCAGGCAGTGTTACCTCAGCTGTTGTATGATATGGGTCACTGAAGGGTTAATACTGTCTAAAATGGTATACGGTGCGGTAGATTCTTGCCTACATTGCGCAGTGTATGGTAGGAATGACAGATCACTAACATACCATTTCCTACTAGAGTAGTAAGGAGGTTATCAGCACGTCCATCAAGGGTAGGTGAAAGGTGACCTTCTGCACCGACGGTTGACAAGGTTCGATCTCGACCCGTTCTCCATAATGGTACTCACGTCCAGGAGGGGGCCATAAGTCCAGGGCGCTCGCAGACCGCTACGGATGACGCTCCATTGCTAAGTTCTTCAACCCTGGGTCGAGTCGTACCTCCCATTTCCGGGATGGGATATTATGCCTATTATGAGTATACGTATTACCTGAGCCGTCTGCAGTATATGTATACTCATGGTAGAAGAATGGTAGGCATCCCATGTTGCGGGGTACCCTATTATTCAGCTGACTTGTATACTCCTAGTAGAAGAATGGTAGGCATCCATGTTGCGGGTAGCCTATTATTCGGCTTACTTGGATGATTATATTGGGTCGGTTAGCATCGACGGTGTACGGCGAACTGCTTTCTCAAAAGGAGGAGTGACGTCTGCAATTGGTTATGGGTACTGGTTGTAAGTGTACCGTTTATGCGAGGTTCAGCAGTTGCTCAGCAAGGGTGGATGTCCACTTTGCCGGCACCTATAGATGTGGTGTTCGGGAATTTCCTTGCGCAATAGTTCTGGGCGAAGGGAGTTCCCATGCTTGGGCTATTGTGTTTTCGTGAGGGGCTCGTTGAGAGCTGCTGGGAATCGGCGAAGGTATAGTGGATGGGGACCTATAGGTGGTCCTCCGGAAGCTGTATTCCCGAGCCGGTCATAGCTTGTAGATGGGCAAGCTACCACCATTGTCATCAACGGTTTTGGTGCCGTTGGTAAGAAGGGTAATCTAATGTCCACGCCGGGATTGAGGAGGATCCCTACAAGTCGAGATGACCTATGGTTATGTCTTTTGCTTATGTTATTCTACTTATTCGTCAGTCTATGTTGATGGACTTAACCGTTGACATGGGCGTGCCTCAAAAGTACGGGTCATCATGGTATCAATGGTGTTGTTTCTATTATGAGGCTAGTCGGTTTAACGACGCTTATTTTCGACCCATTTGTAAATAAAGGGTGTTATCTATATAGCAGAGAGATAGCTATATATGTTGTAGGTTAGAGTAGATTGTTGGTAATGCAGAGGTTGAGGTGATTGGTATAATATGTCGTTTCAGTACCCTAGCTCCTCTATTATGGCTGAAACCGAGGGTGTTCCTGACTCTCATCCTCGAGGGCCTTTTCCTAGGTCTGTAGGGTCTACCTCTGCTATGCAACAATGGCCTGCAAGGGAAAGGGGTTCCTTGGGTATCCCTCCCCCAAAGGCGAGAATTAATGTTGATTGTTATAGTTCGAATATGGAGTTAGATAGCGGGAATATGAATAATAATAGTGAATGTCATACTAACAGTGACTCAAGATCTGCATTAGGATCTAGAGTCCGTTCGGTCAGTCAACCAGTTGGGGGAGAGTTGACTCAGGCGTTAATTGGACCTGAAAGGTCCCAACAATTTCTGCCTTTAGGCAGGTACGATCAAGTCCGCAGCAGTGGTCTCCGGATGCCGTCTATACCATCTCCAAGGTTGGGTATTGATCACCCCCGACAAGAGAGGGATGGACTGCCTCCCAAGATTATCACTGACGAAGTGGGCAATACTGATGGAAGAAATGGTCCTTCATCGTCTCCAAAGGATGATAAAAGAGGTTACGAATCTGTTGAACGCCGAAGAGACTATGGTGGAGATGGTCGTTACGATCGTGGGGTAGACCGTTATCGTGATGAAAGGTGTGAAGAGCCGAAGAGAAGAGGAGATGATGGTCGCTCTAGAGGACGAGATTATGGTCGCTCTAGAGGTCGTGGCAGATATCGTCGTAGTCCTTCAGGATCGAGTTCCTCAACTGATGAAACCTCCTCCGATCGCAGTGGCTATGGTGGACATCTCACTGGTGGCACACGCTATCGCCCGGCCAAGCGTATGACGGGTACCACAAGAGGTTGTCTGGCCTGTGGAGGGAATGGTTGTGGGAGAAACAAGCTGACTATGAAAGAGTTCGATACTGCTGAACAGTTGGCTATCAAGTTGAAACCACAACATAAGTTTCTAGGGGAACAAGATGAACGGTCGGGGACTACATGGTTGGAAGAGATGGAGAGGAAGACGGAAGGCCATCCAGAGGTTATTAAGTACCTATTCTAGAATTACTATGAGCACATTAGCAATGACAAGTGCTAGGCGCAGAACAGTCTTCCACGACCCAATAGTTCGAAGTTTCTCAACCTCTGCCCTTACTACGCGACATGGCCTCCAACAGATCCCTTCCTCGCACTATATCCCCAACAGCATACAAACCTTGATGATTAGGAGCTCCCCGAATGCAGGCAGCGGGAAGATCCCCAAGCCACGCCGTCGAAGGGAACGAGCCTGACAGACAACGCAGTGAACATAGCGAAATACTGCGAGTTCCTTAGTTTTGAGCTAATTTCAATGTCTTGCATTATTACATCGAGTGAAGGTGATGAAGTCTGCTCCTTTATGTTCGTTGACAAGCTCGGCAAGGCACCGAGCCGCTACTGCCGTTGGATCTAGGTCCCCACCAATAGTGTCGAAATAAACAACGTCCATGAGCGTGAAGGTGTACGAAAAAATACTGAGACGAATGCCCCCGTCTGCAACTCCTACTTCACGCAACACTTCACCGGAGTCACTAGAGCTAAATGGTATGTGAGAGAAAATAGTGCTACGCAATACTACTTATACGAATCCTACCTCAATGAGAATCAAATCCATCTTTAGTAACGAACGCCACAGTGTTGTCTTCCCACGACTCCTCAACGCCACCGTTAACTACTGATCCACCACCACCACAGAATGGCTGAAGGCAGCCGCATCCCGAACGATGAACAGGAGTACTTTGTTGAAGGAACTGAGATGCAACTCTTTGCTGAACTGGATTGACCCTGCCCGCCACACCCACCCCGCGGCAATTTCGCGACTTCTTGATCGTTGGCGTTGGAGAAGAACTGTTAACATGAAAGCTGCCCAATTTGATCGCACCATCCTCCCAAGAGTCGTTAACGGCTTTATACTGAGTCACTGAGTTCATAACGGAAGGCTCCGTCCGATGACTCCTAGAGAAATTAGCAGCTCTCGTAGGATGCATGTATGGACCTGTTGGGTGCTTCCTCGGACCTGTGCCATAACTGAGCCTTGATACTCGGTAAGGTCTCACTGCTTTACCTCCAAAGTGTTTCATGACGTGAGGCTCAGCGACAGTACCAGGAATAGCACTAGCGTCCTGTTGATTATCGAGATGATAGGCACTGAACCCAACAGGGATAACCTCGTCGTCCTTTGCATCGTTGTCGTCACCATTCAAGTCCTCATCAATATCCATTGCAGATCGAGGCATGGGAGCGGATAAGACTGGAGTAAATTCACCATCAGCTGACATGCTGTAATAACAATGGTTTTTCATCCCTTCGTTCAAGAACCATTTCAGCGTTTCCTTGTCATCTTGCAACCGTTCAACCCAATCCCTGTAGTTATCATTGTCAACGAACTGAGCATCGTTTACCATGGCCAGTCGAATAGTGAGCAAGTCGTCCAAATCCTTCATACCGTCTCTTGGGGGAGCCTTAGACAAACTATCTTTCAGCTCCAAGGGTACATCCGGGTTATGCCTCAGCAAGGACTCGTTAACAGCGACCAGACACCTCTCAATGCCGCGTATTTTATGATAGTGCCAGGCCGTCAGTACTCCTCGCCAATCGAACGTACTAGATCGACCAAGGCATGCACTTCCGTAGGCGAAGCCGAGGTTGGCGGCATTGAGGACTATTTCGGCACGACCAACATCATGAGAGGGATGAGGAGGGTATGATGACGAGTCCATTCACAACTTGGGCACATACCAATCAACTTAGAAATTTGCAGTGACCATAAATAGTTTGGCATCCACGGAACAAACCCTTGAAGCATTTCCCTTTGATACCAGGGCGCGCGCGAGAATTCAGTGGTCTGCGCATAAGGAAGTAGTTGAGTTGTGATAAACTGTATAATACACGAGAATACTTTCTGTATTCTCGTGGCGATGTTGTGCTTACATGCCCTGATTATCCCGGGATGGCATATCCGCCCCACCCGGGAAATATAATATATCAAAGCATGCCCTGGGGTGGCTATATGTCATTTGGGCCAACG